AAAACATTCTATGATTCTATGATTCTAAGACTGGAGGCCAGACACAGCACGGGAGGCTGAACAGAGTGGAAACCAAGCCTAGCATGGGAGGCTGAAACGAGAACTGAGGCCCAGCTCAAGGTGGGAGACCGAAGCAAGCATGGAAGGCCCATGACAGAGCAGGAGGCTGGACTGAGCATGGGAGGCCCCTGATAAAAGTAGAGGCCAAATCAAGCATGGGGGTCTGACCCTAGATCAGAGGCTGACCCTAGGAAACCCACTGCAGAACGGGAGACCAAAACAAGGGCTGAGACTATTGCAGTGTGAAAGCCAAAATAAAGACAGGAGACTGAAATGATGGCAGGAGGCCCATTGTGGAGTGGAGGCCAAACTGCGGGTGGAAGACCAAAGGGCACATAGGAAGCTGAACCCATGAGACTTGGAGTCCAGTGCAGACTGGAAAGCAAAACAAGGGTAGGAAGCTGAAACGAGGACAGTTAAGGTCCATTGCAGATTGGAGGCCAGAACGGGGGTGGGAGGCCAAAAACAAGAGTTGAGGCCCACTGCAGATTGGAGGTCAAGATGGAAGTGGGAACCTAAAATTAGGGGAGTCGAGGCCCATTGCAGACTGGCGACCAAAACAAGGTTGGGAGGACAATTAAGTGAGAGTTGTGGCCACAAGAATCGAGGGCCACTGAAGAATCCATGTCAAAAGGAGGGTGGTAGGCCAGTTCCAAAGTGGAGGCCGAAACGAGGGCAGGAGGCACCCAAGGAAATGAAGGCCAGAGCGAGCATTGTAGGCACAGGATTAAGTGGAGGCCAGACAGAGCATTGTAGGGTTTTTTTTACATGACGTTGCCTTCTGGCTGGTGCAAGAACTAACCCAGGGCTTTGAGCAACCTGGTCTGGTGGAAGGTGTCCCTGCCCACGGTGGCGGGGTAGATCTAGATGATCCCTAAGGTCTCTTCCAACTCAAACCATTCTATGATCCTGTGATACCAAAATGAGTGTGGAGACCAAATCCACAGTGGACGCTGAACCCAGCACGAAGGCCGACAGCGGAGCAGAGGGTGAGCTGAGCCTGTGGCTCTGAACTGGGAAGGGAGGCCCTCCACAGGGTAGGAGGCCAAACCTAGACTGGGAGGCACACCAGGAAGGCGAGGTCCCTGCCTCTGCACACATGCGCTTCCTCCTGGGGGTGATGGCAGCACACTCACCACCTCCTACTCCCATACAGACCAGTTCTGCACCTCCCACTAAAGCAAGGATGATGCTCAGGTTTTTTTCCTAAACTCCTTTTCAACTTTTCTTCCTCCCCCGCAGAGGACTGCTAACACAAATAAGCATACTTGCACCACGACACCTCGAGTGGTCTCCCTGCAGATCCTAACACACAGCTCCCTCTGTCAGCAAGAGATTTGAAGCAGATTTTATCAGACAGAGAGCTAGGCTCCCTTCTCTGACCTGGCTTAGCCTTCTTGGATATTGTATGCCCAGACAATGCAACATCCTGGAGGTTTATGCTATGAACACCTACTGTCAGCCGATCTCTGCAGGTTGAAGCCCCTGAGGCACACTCCCATCCTCAGCCAGGCCCCAGAATCACCACGCATCCGCCTACTCTAGTCTTAAAAATTGCAAAGCTCATCAGAAGTGCCTACTACAGCTCATCCATTTGCGCACGCCGCATCAGTGTCACTACATACAGATCAGTTCCTGCTTTAGTCGCGGATGCTGCTTGCGTAAGAGGATCCTTTGCAATCTCCGTTGAAGAGCCAGCCTTGGAGCTTTACCGAAACTCTGAAGTCAAGATGAGGGAATCTCAAGTGTTAGACTGTAAGGGACACCTTCAATTTGCATCCCTGATCCATACACTTAGGAAATAATACCTCTACCTCAAGGACAGACCGAAAAAATGTGACTAGGAATTGGTTTTCATTGGTTAAGATCCAGTACATTTGTTAAGGACTCATCTAATGTTAAAACCAACAATTCCTAACTCAGAAGCACCTGGAGTATGAACATTTTCCATGCATTTTTAAGTTACTCTGCACAGAAGGAAAAAACATGCATTTTTTGAACGCTCAGCTCTCAGGATAGCTAGTAAAGATCAACTGTAAAGTGACACATAGTCTGAAGAAATGAAACTCTTATATGTAGGGTCTGACCTTTCCCCTCTCCCAGAGGAGAACAATGCGATTAGTGACAAAGCTCTACGCTATGGTCAGAAATACAAATGACAACAATGAATTTACAAGAATAGGATATTATGGAATCAGTACTATAGTACAGAATCAGTGTACAATAAAACCAAACAACCCAAAACCTCTGCAAGTTTCTATTACTACACAGTACTGCTATCAGCTGCAGCCAAACCTAGATCTGCATTTGACCAAGCAGGATATTCCCCTGTAAGCTTCATCATCTAGCCCTACTTGCAGATCTAGTACTTTCTCGACTGGTATGTCCAAACACTGTACAGTTACAATAAAATGTGGACACAAGAATTCAAAAGCAGGTTCTTTATCCTGGCAGAAAAAGGCATTCAACATCTAAACCCGCAGGCTTGGGCTTGTTTTTTGAAAGATTGTATTATACAGTAAAATTTGATTAGAGACTCTGTAATCCTTGCCCAAGAAACAGAATGAGACGGTACTGATTTCATTATATTAACCACACAGAAAAAACAGAGCAAAAAGAGAGAACTTTTCTTGAAAGATCTTTTCAAAATCAGTTGTCTTACAAAAAAATATAAACATTTCTCTCCCAAGTTTCCTCTCAGAAAGTCTTTGTTTTAACACAGAAATAAGCAAAGCCTCAATCTTGAACACGATACAACACAATGGGTATAAGCTACTCATTATTTTCTAAGATATGACACACAAACATCTAAAACCAGCCCAAACGACCTTGTATTGATATTTGCTTCGAAGTTAAAGAGGTTTAGTCAGAGCAAGACCTTGAAATGTAACCGACTCATTCTGACGATGGAAGGTACTTTCTGCAAGCAGTGCAAGCTGGTAGCTCAGGCTGGCCAAAGAACAGCATAAAAGCCACGGGTTGTTCATCTTCAGCATTCATTAGTCTGTGACACTAAGCTGTACCTGCTCAGGCCCGGTACTTCAGTCACAGCCCCTTCACAGCCAAACCCAGGTGTTATTCTAGAGCTGCAAATGCAACATGCTTTTCCCTTCTTTTGAATATGTGACTTGCAATTAGTTCAAGGATCCCAAATAAAACATAGTCTAAAAAGAAGCTGTCATGGACAGATGAGTCTATCAAACTGTGTGCCTTGCTTTAAAAGTGCCCTTTTGCAAGGCAGCATTTTATGGTCACTCCTAGCAAACAAATTTGAGTAAGACTAGATTTAAGTGTCCCACTACAAAAAGAGAACAGTGTTCAAAAAAAGTTTAAGAAGCTGGACAAGGCTTCTTCAAATAGCTAACAGCTCACATGAGGCCACAGCAAAGACACTGGCTTTGGAATAACATAAGCTTACAGAATGCATTTACTGCTCCCTGGTAACGGTACAGGTTTTTTCCTAGAGTCAGTACTGTAGCTCACAAAAACCCTAAAAACAAAGTTTTGTAGATCCTGATGGAACACTGATATAAGCTTCCTTTACACATTCTCCGTGCCTTTAATCTGGCCCTGAAAGGAGTCTTGCTCAAATCTATTCCTGTGGCCATTCTGTCTTTCATCTGTCAAGGTCAGCAGAATGCAGGCTAGCTGATACTAAATGTATCAGTCGGCAATACAAATAGCTATCTGTTTGGATGCTTAAAGAACCCAAACCAACGAACATCTGTAAGATAAATGGTCAATCAGTACCAGTTTGGATTGGTGCAGACTGACAGCCCCCAAAGAAAGCAGGCTTTAAAGGTAGGACCCAGTGAGCTTCATGTGCCTCATGCAGTGCATTTTAGTCAGTAGGAGTTATATATTGGCTTATGAAGTATCAGGGAGCGCCTGCCAAATTACTTTCCAAACAGCAGCCAACTTGTCTTCTGGCTGTTTTCAGTGTTACGCAGTTGAACAAGTGATTTGTGCATGGTGTTAAATGCTAAAGATTGTAGCTGTTGTGAAGTTAGCGAGAAGCAAGTATCCACAGCATGTGGCAGAAGAAACGGAAGGTGATGAAATACTGCTTCATGCAAGCATGAAGGCTAGTCAGCATAAAAGGGGAGAAGACAGAGGCATACTGGCTTCTAGGGAGATTGCCACCTCCTCCAGGTAAAACACCAATTGGGAAGGTACTTAACCCTTCGTGTGCTTTCATCCCTTGACCAGGAAAGCGTGGAGGGGAAGGAAGGTAGAGATGAAGAGGAGGTCACAAACGCACTCCTCCCGATCTAAAAATGGGAAAGAGAAAAACACTCGGGAAAACCAAAAACAAAACACAAATAAATTCTTAACTGAAATAAAGGAACATTCTTAAAACCATGGAGATGACACAAAGCAAGCATGATTTTGAGAACTTGGCTAAGCCTGAGTGAGAGACTTAATTCTTTCAAAATACAATTGACTTCATGTTAATTCTAACATTGGTATGCTGGAGGTGCTAAGTTCCCCAGAGAATAAAATACACATTCGCAATTATACCAAATTAACTAACTCCACATAACAAATCAACGCTTCAGAACCACTACTCCTATCTAAATGTCAAGCCAAATGCCCAAAGTACCTATACAAAGCACTGTCATGTTTGGCAAACACTGCCACATACAAAAGAATTCTGATAGTTCTTGCTGCCGGAACTGCCTTTATATCAACATGCCAATATAATTTAAGATGATCCAGATTTCACAGTTTAAAGTTCTTATTAATTTAGTTGAAGGTGGGGTAAAACCCAGCACACAAATTTCTGCGCTGATTCCCTGGTGCACTCACTACTGTCTTTGGAATGTGCATGGAACATTTGCCCTCCCTCATGCCAGGCAAAAACCCTGTTAACTTCTAAATATGTTTTAACGGGCTTAATTCTTTATCTGGAAGGAAATACAAGATAGTGCTACCAACAGGGAAACGTGTTGAAACAAATCCACAAATGTTAAATGTGTGCCTAAAAACTATTGTCCCATATTCCTGCCCACAGGGCAATCTAGATGCAACAAAAAACTAACTTTAAGAAGCACTAGTGTGTGGTGGGTCACTTCTCTAAAGTGTGAACACCTCAGTGCAGAACCCTTGTGGCTAACACAGAATTCCCTCTCTACCATTAGCACATCGTACAGGAAAATACTAAACCAGACGACTTTGTTCAACTAACAGATCTAAACCATCTTCAGCCTCCAGTTCCAAACTCAGGGTAAGAAGTTGGTGGCCTGAGGAAAAAGTTAGCTTCGATTTTATTTTTGAAAGGTGGTTCTGAAGTTCCACAAATTGGCACATGCCTGTATATCTCAAGAAAGAAATCCATGAACTTTACCTACCTTCTTGGAATACTACTTCCTTCCTCCCTCCCCCCGGCCCCTGCTGGTTTTCAAACAGCCACACATTGATATTTGGCATTTATACTGTGGTTAAAAGAAACAGCTGAGCAGAAGCCAAAAGCTCCAGTTTACATATTCCAGAATTGTTACAGCTTTTACTTTTCAAAACATCAAGCTCCTGCAGACATGTTAATACAGCAAACATTAACAATTCTTACAGTTCAGATTCACTCTGAAGCAGACAGTTGAGCAGCTTTGGTACACGAGCATAGTTGGAACAGACAGAAAAGCTGAGCATAAGAAGAAATGCAGAAGCATCAGCAGTTTTACTTACATGTGGAGGGAAAGGCTGCAGTCTTGTTATGCTTTCTTCTGGGTATGTGACCTCTCCCATGGGGAGGTAGGGTTTCTGACCTGATCCAGTCTCATACATGGACATGGGTCTGCTACCCCGTGCAGATGGTCGCCGCTTTAAAGAAGAATTGTTGGTAGGGTCTGTGTATTCAGAACCAGTTTGGACCTGATATATATTGGTTGTGGCCTGTCTTCTGAGGTTGGTATTTTCACTCTGTAGCGTTTGAAGCTGAAAGAAATGTTTAGCAGTGGGACTTTGTTTTTCTAACAGCAAGCGTCAAAAGCAAACTGACTATACAATACACGCTTGTCAGCTTTACTAGTGAACCCAGTTACTAGTTGCTGGGGTTTGATCTCTTTTTTCCAAATCTATTTGACTTGCTTAGTATAAGCACAGCAACATCTATGTTCCAGATCTGGAAATATTTATGTGCTGATTTCCAGCCCTTTTTGCTGGGTTGCAAGCTAAATTAGATCTTAAAATTGGCCGTTGTAGTTAAAACCCACACAATCTATTCCTTCCAGCCTGGCTGGAGTGGCACATGAATTGTGTAATATAATGAGGTTGTGGGGGGAGGGACTGCCAACAAAATGGGTTTTCAAGCAAAGTGATCCATTTCAGCAGTCAGTACAAGAACTTAAAAGAGGACTTGAACATAAGGCCCACGAAACCTGAAAATGCCAGAACTACAGCACAGACACCAGAGGCAGCGCAAAGAAAACTAGAGCTTGCTCTGCAAAGCAAGAACAGAGTTTAGTTTATGAAAATTAAGTATCAGCTACTGCTTTCTAAGAAGCCAACAAGAAATAATTGTCAAGATTTTTATTATTATCTGTTTGATGGATCGTAAAACCACAACGATTCTGATTTTTTTTTTGTGGAGTTACTCGGAGTAAGTTTGCTATATTAACACATCATAAAGAAAAGATGTGAAAGAAGTCAGAATCAGCAATTCTCTAACAATGACTGAGTATAGAATTTCAAACAGCTGATGGCCTTTTAAACAGGAAATTGCATATTTACTACTGGCATTTACTTTGCATCATATGAACCATCAAGAACATTATCAAAAAAAAAATAAAAAAAAAAAATCTTATTTTGCCCAGAGCACTTCCCAGAACCCTAAATGGAATGTGCAGATTTCTGTGAAGATAATTTATGCTTTTTGTCCCCACTCTGTGTGCTCTGTAGCAAGATGCATCAAGTCTTAAGATTTGGGGATCAGCCAGGAGCCAAGCTACCCCTTTAAAGTTTGACATTAGAGGCAACTAAATAGGTCAACTTTATAGTCTCTTGCTTCCAAACTTCTATATTTTATAAACGGGCTTTTGGTGCAGTTTTAGCCAACAGCTAACGTAAACTCAGCCCAAACTCTTAACTACCTATAAGCACCTAAAAAAATCTGCAGGCATGAAAAAATAACTTTCCATTAGAATGCCCATTAAAGTAACGGGACTATTTGCATTTTTATTTAGGGAGAATCTACTCTGAAGTGGCATTCATCAAGTGCAGCTTTGCCTCTTCTTTAATTAGCATCTTTTGCTTGGTAATTGCCATGCAAAAGATTAGATACACAGTTGGCTAATAAGGTGACACATAAAGTGGATAGATTTTTTTTTTTAGTTTATGACCTAAGCTCTTGCTTAGAAAACAAACAAAATAAACAAAAAAACCCCTCTTGAATTCACATCTATTGCATCAGAATCGCTGCTTGTCACAAATAACCCAGCAGAGAATTCCCATATCGTACAGAAGTTCCCAGCAGCTTAGAGCTAAGATGGCTGTTAGCCCTTCCTCCCACCCTGCACTCTGCAGTGGCGCAGGGCTGGACAGATTCTTCACCAGTCCAGAGCCACTAGACACGAAGTTAAAGCCCCGGAGCTATATACATCATCAGGACACAAAATTAGCGCAACTCATCTCCAAGGCGAGTGAGCCCTGGCTATGCCATCTTTCAAAACAAGTTCAACCACAGCACAGCAACGATCTCTCTTCCGCTACACAACATAAATACACTAAAGCCTCATTAATTCATAGGCTCTAAAGATTTTTTTTTAACCCTAAATAGACTATATCTGTTTAAAGACACTCAATATAAGTGAAAAGGTAGTTCAGCTAACGCAGAGAAATGCTTAACCAGCACAAGCTGTCAAAAGACCAGGGAAATACCCTGGGATCTCTTAGGTTCCTCTCAGTATTCACCATTTCAATGGATCTGAAAGGCTGATCACAATTATAACACAAGGATGGCACTGAAGAGACAAAGATACTCGAATCTGCTGAATTAGCTTGGCCTCCCATGCTAAGAGCTCAGCAGTTCCCACCACTCTCCAAAGCATCAGCCTCTTTGCCCCAAAACAACAGGGGGCTCTC